TAATCTAAACTATCAACATTCGCTACCAGATACTCGCCCCTCCAAACATGTCCAGCCTGAATGTTGTAACCTAAGAAAACATCTTTCTTGGCATTGGGAGCAAAGTTACCTCTCTTTGGTTCATACATTCCCTCCCAAAAGAAAAGAAGACATCCGAAAGGAAGTTGTCTACCAAGAAACACATTGGCAAAACGTGATGACCAAGGTGAATCATTTCCATTCAATTGTTTGACAATGTTGATAGCCATGGCCTGGTGTTTGGAGGCATATGGCCACAATGACAAAGGCATGTTGGCCTGAAGCAAGTTGGAACGCGCCCCTTCCAAAATTTTACGGACTTCCCGTTCAACAACCGCTTTGGTAGAATGGTGATAGTCAACAGAGAAGTCCGATGCTTGTATCCAAGTTCCTCAATGGCATCCAACATTTCTGGAGCATTATCCGTGTACACGGTACCAACAAGATCGGAAGTCTTGAGAAAATGCTTGAAGGCCTTCACAATGGAATCTGCCGCCTTGTTCTCAGAAGGGTAAACGCATCGGTATTGCGTGTACACGTCTTTGATCGTCAACATGGAAGTTTGGCCTTCGATTCCTTCTTCGATATCTTTGGGAATAACATGGTCACAAACAATGTGGTCTCCAAAACCACGTGCCCACTACAAATATCACGGTCTTCTCCCCTCCTACGGGACATCCTCAAAATCAAAAGGAATCTCCTCCTCCTGGTCACTATCCTCATCCTCTTCCTGTTCCTCATCGGCATTGGCAGCTACGCCAGCGTCGTCCTCCCCTTCCTCTTCAGGCTCAGACTCTCGGCTGGCCATAGTGGATGGAGTCGAGTACCTTATGGAGAATGGGGCGCATGTCTCATCAATGTATGGGGCCCTACCTAGAAGTTTAAGTTTAACACATTGTCCATCAAGTTGCAAGAAGATAGGAGTGGTATCCTTTCCCCAAACAAAATCGCACCCCTGTTCTAAAAATCTCAATCCAATAGAAAGAGCTGATGGGGCGCTTTGAAGAATGTAGGGATTGAAGGATTCGCACAACCGTGGAAGAATCACCTCAACTACATCTTCAGCAGTAATAGGACCATTTGCAGTCGTAAGCGAAATTGGTTCATTAGACTTGAATATCCTAGTGGCTCTGTTCACTGTCTTGGAGTCTGTACCCGCAATATCTTGGTCAGTACCAGTGTCTCCTAGCCACTTCTCCACGCCTACCGTACTTGGCATCGCAGTCACGCGAGCGCAAGAGGGCACCTGTTCACCGGTGACCGTTCTACACTTTGTGCAGCGCAAGTCATCGGGGCCTTCTGGGGAATGGTCACAAAGAAAATCCTCCTCGGTATCCATTAACATGAGCATCTGCCTAAGTGACTTCGCTGCCATAATGGCATCCTTAGTGTCACACTTGTGGGACTTTGGACATTCCTCAGTGGTCCGGAACAGGTGTCGTTTTCTGCTCTTATTTACAACATGCCTGTACATGTCCTTCCAAACGGGGAAGGTATGCGCCTCAAGATTGAATTCAAAACGAATTCTCTTCTCTTGCAACTGATTTCCCAGTCCAGTCAAACTTCTGTTTCGCATCTGGGCGCTTCCAATTACCCTTGATTGTCTTACTCTTCCCTTTTGAGTCAGTGACTACCATGGTGAACTAGTCTTCCAACCTCGAGGACTCCACAGGACAGGGTTTACGTGTAGGGAGAAACGACCTGTTCCTAGGCCTTACATGATGCCTAATGAGTTCTGTGCCAGCTTCGCAGAATTCCCAGTAGCCTTTACTCTTTGGGGCTTGAGTAGCTGTTGCTGCTATGCAAGACAATGCGAAACCTGTTTGAACACATGGAATTGCCTTTGGGCTCTTTTCCTTCTTTTCCTTTTTGCTCCTTTTGTCCTTCTTTGACTTCTTGTCTTTGGACTTTCTAGCTGCGGGAGACGGGCTACGTCTGCGCGGGGCCGGCGTTGCCGTTTCGCCGTGCTTGAATGGACACTTGTCGCCCCTTTTGCAGTTGCCCTTGGCAAAGAATCTACACGGTTTCTCAGATTTTCTACCCCTACTTGAACTTCTTGATGAGTTTCTAGAACTGCTACGGGAAGACGGTCTCGAAGAATTTCTTGATCGGCTTGACCTGAACGAAGAGCGTCCACTAGAACTAGCGCTACGGGAACGCGACGACTCCCTGCTAAGGGAACGGTGACGAGCGCTAGAGTCGTGCGAGTACTTGCGTTTGCTACCATACTTGCACTTGCCACTTTTGGCGAACTCATAGCATTGGTTGCTGTTGTCACCTTTTGTACTACGTTTGTCATAACTGGGGCTTCGTGTGCGTTTGTCATGCGGCGCCGGGTTAACATATTTTGCTGAATGCGATTGAGAGCTTTTCTCTCTCTCTCTATTGGTTCTTAGCCTTTCCCTATCAAGGTACTGTCTGACAGAGTTGATAAGAAATTCATAGCTTGTGCCTTTACTTCCTTCTGGAGCACGTTCATAGACATCAAGACAGATCAAACCAGAGTTTACGGGACTTCCTAACATTTTTTATTGAAAAGATCCTTAAGTGTAGCTGGGTCTGGGACATGGCTCATTCCAGTCAAAACACTTCCCCCCATTTCCTATAAGAAAGGACTTCAAGTCATCGCTATCAAGCGCGATCTTGAGGAGGTCTTCCGTTCCGTAAAGGGCACCCGCTTCCTCACTAGATTTGAAATGGACTTCAAACATAAGCAAAACCTGACGACTGCGAGCGATCCTACCTTGCTGTGCCTCAGATTCCTTGTAGTTAAGGATCTGCTGAGACAGTTCGCCCTTAGCAACCTTAGTCAAAGCAGCAAGTAGTTTCGTGTCTAAAATCCGAAACTTGCCTGGGTCTGCCAACTCCGAACAGAGCTTTGTCCTGTCCTCTCGGCCAGCATTGACGTCAAGCACCCACGCGAACGCGGCATCTGGGTCATCGGACGCGGACCGAATCGCTTCTGGAACTGCGGCCCTCCAAGTGCGGTACCTGTCAGGACTAGGACCTAGGAAATTCTGGGCGCTCTATCTTATCTGCCTCTTTTGCCTTGGGTTTATCGTGGTCTTTACTTTTAGCGCCCTTAAACCCCCCTAGCAAGGCTTTCTTGATGATTTCACTTAGATCTGGTTCTTGGGGAGTGCGTACCTGAGACGCCGGCCCTTCGTCCTGTCGTTCATCTTTGTCAATATTTGCGTCCTTGTCAAGGGAGCCAGTGAACAATGCATCCTTGTTGAAGTTGTATTGTTCCGACTCACTCCTGTACGCTGCCCAGGGATCTGAAGCATCCAACTTTCTCTTGTCTGTTGACGCTGATGGTTTCTCTGTTGCAGTTGCCCCAATTCCAGAAAACATTGACGGAAACCTCGTATTGCGTTTGCTTGCGTTTGCACCCGTTGCAGTTTGGACGGGAACTCCACCATGATCTGCATGGGGGCAAACCACCTACGATTGCAGGGACTGAGCCCTCTGTTCGTAGTGGTCCAAAAGAGCGAGGTTCTCCAACAAAAGCATTCCAGGTTTTTCCTCTGGCACTGGTGGTTCTGGATGAAGCGGTCCTGGTTTCGTAGGGCTATCAGGCGGTGGCTCGCGTGCTGCTGCCTTGTTTGCATTAGACAACGCTTGTGCCATTTGCCTGAGCTCATCCATCTCCTCCTTCAACTTAGAGTTGTCCTGCCTGAGTTCAACTATTGTTTGTTCCTGAAATTCCTTGTCAAAGCTGCTCTGTTTCTTGACTGCTTCAACTTCACTTGAAAGTGTTTTAACTTTTGCTTGAACTATTGCCAAGGAGCTTGCCAGTTCATCGCGCCTGAACTCTAGTTCAATAACTTTGCTAGCGCCGTCAGCTGCTGTAGCCCTTGCTTGTTGCGTTGCCTTTGCTGCTGCCTGAAATCTAGCATCATTTTGTTCAACATATTGCTGATGTTCTGACTTCAATTGCTCCAAAAAACGGTTGCCTTCCAAACAAGTCATTGTTAATCTATTCCTTTCCTGTACTGCTTGCTCGTGAGCTTTTGTGGCCTGCGCCAACCGATCCTGAAAATGCTCACGCTGTTCCTCCAATGTTTCCTGCGACCTCCTTATTGCAACATTGCCCTGAGCCTGAACATGTTGTTGAGCCTGTTGCTGAACATTCTGAACGGCCAACTCTGCTGCAACCATTGCTGCTGCAATTGACTCTGAGGCCTCGCGCTCATACAAACTCCTGAACCTGAGCGCCTCAAACTCTGCCTCTTGTCTTGCCGGCTCACCAACCTGCACTTCGTGCTGATGCAACTCTCTCCTCAACTCTGCATCAACAACGCCAGCGTTAACATTAACAACGTTGAGCCTTGTCATTGCCAACGTGTTGTTCACCGTTGGCCCCCCCATTACGGCGGCTGACGGCGCACCGGCTAAGGTGGCTAGTCCGGCTTCCTGAAGGGAACTATTGCCGTCACTATTAAGCACCTGCTGGAATGCCTCCGAAGTTGCCTGTGGTCCCATTGCTGCCAACCTTTGTTGTGACTTAGCAATTGCTTGTTCATGCCTCTGAACTGCATTGGCGCCACTAGGAAAACTTGGCAACGTCGTCGTCCATAGGGTCCATAGCTGTACTTTAGTTAGCCTACGGCTGATAACCTGTATTTTACAGGATCAGGTCTAATCTACTAGCTAACCCTGTCTAGCCGTTAAGCGCTCTTTTCACTCTACCTTGAGAGTGCACGCTACGGGGTCCATGGGGATGATGTGAATTTCAACACATTCAAGTGCAGCGACTGCTACAAACCTGATCACTGCACTCCTAGGTCCTAGGCAAACAACAAACGATAAGCAAACCGTGAATGTGATCTCAAGCCCCGCAACACAGCACGCAAAATGGCTGCGCATGCAGTTGGGGAAGTATGATCACATTCCTAGAAGTACAGTAAACGTAATTATTGCGTGTGTACAGTCTTTTAGACATCTGTAAGTTGCCACAATACTTCTGCGCAAGGAATCGCCTGCAGGCGGTCAGCTGATGGAGCAGGTGCCTCATCTGTACACTGATCTTGCAGGCTTTCAATAACCTGTAGTGCTGGCAGGAACACCATGCTTGAATGGCCGTTAAACAAATACCACGAGTTTGACAAGTGTGACAACATCAACTTCCTTTGAAATTGAAGCCTCTGTGAACCCGGAGATTGTCTCCATCAGCTGCTCCTTCGGGCACAAAACTGAATGACATTCCTACAGGGTTGATGAGCCGAACGCCCGAAGCAGTTCTTGCAGAATTTGACATTCCCTGCGCATTGACCCCATGGAATGGGAACGCCAAACTTCAAACACCCCCAGAAGAAAATTGACATCCTGCCACGGCCCAAACAGCTTACAAAAGCACATAGTAGCCCATCACTTCATTAGGTAGAGCTGCTGCAAGGCCAACCTGTGGACCAGTTTGGCAAACCCAACCCTACAAACTTCCGCAAAAATCAGTCGGCAGGCAGCTAAGTATAATTTGTCATGTTCAGGGCGTGTGCGTGTGTGTGAGTGCGACGGAGATCTCCGCAACAAAAAATACCACGCTGCGTGCTAGTTTCTCCGTGGGAATCTACTAGTGATGGGTAGGAAAAGCACTGGTCAGGTTGTCTGGTCGGATTGTTGTATCTCAAACGCCCTCGTCTGTTCGTACGTAAAGAGCGCCATATCTCAAGGCTGTTCTTCAGCTTTCTATCAGGTCGATGTTCCACGCGCGCACTACAGATTAGATGTACGTACGATCCAACTGCGCCGCCCCTGATGACGCCTAAAAACCTACCTGGGTAAACCAGGTCCGTCTGGACATTACGAACGGAAAGGCCTCAAGTCAGCAACAATATGGTTTATCCACATGAGCCACCATGGAAGCGAACAGCGCTTTCAGCAGTTCAAGCAGGTACGGTTTCACACCCGCCACTGGAAGTCTTTGTTGGTCACAGTTCCAGTGATGGGCCTGTGGCACGCTGCTCAAACCCCAAAAGAGGCGCCCATGATTCGAGGGTGGTACCAAAGGTGCGTCAACAATTTACGATTCACTTGCTGCGTCAGCCGACCAATACAGAAACGATCTCAACCTGTCAATGGCCATGCGCAAACCGCAAGGTGGACAAAGCCGCAACAATATGGTTAGATCGCAAATCTTGACAGCAGGTACGTCGTTCCAGCATGGCGGGTGCCTTAAGGCACTCCCACCCTGCAGACCCCTGGATTAATTTGGATATTGTTCCGCTATACCTGCGCGTACATGGCTGAAATACATCCAAGGGGTGCTCCAGGGGTACTTTGTAGCAACAAGTAAATCAAACAAGGTGGAGGCCAAAAAAGCAATCCTGATACTGGAACGCCGTCGAATTTGTCACACGTGATCGCCCATCGTCTGATGTTGTCTGCGGACCACTGAACATATTCCCTGTATCTCCACAGCCACAGATCATCACAAATGCTCACAGATCATCACAGATCCATACAGATTTATATCCAACCAAACATACCTGTTGCACCGTGACGTAACTCCGGGATGCTGCAGTATGAGGGGAGCCTAAAGAAATATATCCACTATGGGAGGTCACATCGTGGATCAATGTTTGTTACTAACCTTTAGGATATATTTTCAGCAACAAGACTCGATATGTATAAGGTAGGACATACCCAGATTGTTTTTCATTCCAGCCAGGCAAGAGCTAGAGAATCTTGTTCAGAATCGTTTTTTGACCTACCTGGGTTCATTCTCAAGAAATGTGGGCAACATTCGTTGGCTGGAAACATCTGAAGCACACTCCAGCCCCCTGTTTCAAACACTTATTGTGTGTTACAATATCCTTTGGCACTGTGGCCAAAAAGCCTCCAGAAGAGACAGAAGACTGAGAAAGAGAAAAGAAGACACAGGAACAAAAGAGCAGAGTTCAAAGCCACTGTTAGATTTAGAGCCTAACAAGCCTTTAGGAAGAGAGAGAACCAAGAACAAGAGAAAGAGGAGGAAGAGGAAGGAAAGGCAAGCAAAGAGTCGCGAACCACCAAACACGAGTGCCAAATGAATGGCAAATTACAGAAAATCTGGGACCGCGTGTTTGGGGAACAAACAAAGAAGCCGAGCATCTGGCGCAACATGCATTACATCCAACAAGCCTTTAGAAAAAGAACACAAAACTGAAAAACCACTGGACTGGGGGAAAGGGGGCATGGAGATATGAAACCCCAGGACCTGGGTGACTTAAACTAATTTCATTAATTCTGTTCACCTCGTACCTCGTCTTAATTCAATGTGTTGAAATTATTCACCTCGCCTCGTTCAATTGGAATAATTTCAGTCACCTCGCCTCTGTCTGTCTGTCTGCCTGCCTGCCTGGCTGCCTGCCTGTCTGTCTGTATGTATGTCTGGCTCCAAAGCCTTTGAAAAATAGCGTTCTCTTGAGCGGGCTAGTTTAATTGAGCTGTTCAGCACAGTTTCCATACCTAGTGGGGCTGGCTAGGACCCAAGACAACATCAACAAGGCTGCTAACCAATCCACAGTCGTGAAACCCTATTTCGCCAAAATAGTGTTCTTTCATGGAGCTTGCCTATTTGAGCTGTTCAGCGCAGTTTCCATGCCTAGTGGGGCTGGCTAGGGCCCGAGACAACGTCAACAAGGCTGCTAGCACTGCTAACCAATCCACAGTCGTGAAGCGCTATTTCGCCAAAAAAGGATTTTTTTCACGGGGCTTGCGCATTTGGGCTGCTCAGCGCAGTTTCCTTACCTACTGGGGCTGGCTAGGGCCCGAGACAACATCAACAGGGCTGCAATATTTCGCAAAAATCGGAATTTTTCATGGGGCTTGCCTATTTGGGCTGCTCAGCACAGTTTCCTGACCTAGTGGGGCTGGCTAGGGCACGAGACAACATCAACAAGGCTGCAAACCAATCCACAGTCATGAAACCCTAGTTCGCCAAAATAGGAATTTTTCATGGGGCTTGCCTATTTGAGCTGCTCAGCGCAATTTCCTGACCTAGTGGGGCTGGCTAGGGCCCGAGACAACGTCAACAAGGCTGCAATCCAATCCACAATCGTGAGCCCCTATTTCGCCCAAATAGGATTTTTTCCATGGGGCTTGCGTATTTGAGGTGTTTTGCGCAGTTTCCTTATCTACTGGTGCTGGTTAGGGCCCGAAACAACGGCCAAAGGGCCGCCAACCAAGCCACAGTCGCGAAGCCCTATTTCGGAAAAATCGGGTCTTTTAACGGGCTTGCCTTTTAGAGCTGCGCGGCTCAGCATCTTTACTTACTAGGCCTTGGTGGGTTGGGAAACCAGGCCAAAACGGCGGCGAGCCAATCAACCGTTGTGAAACCAAATTTTGCCCAAAAAGGTTTGTTTTCAGGTTTGGATTTATAGTGACCCAAACTACAAAATCCACGCGCGAGCGGCCCAGTTGTCAACACCGGGGCCTCCGACGCGCGACGCTCGAAGCCAGCCTCTGGAAGTTTCTTCTCTTTTCCACCGCCGCGCGCGCGCGTGTGTTGCGCGCGGGCCGAGAGCACGTGGCTGCTTCAGGGCGTCGAGAAAGCTTAAGTGAGAAGGAGGCGCTTCTGACATTGGATACGGCTTCCTTGCTTAGTGGGGCTGGCTAGGGCGCGAGACTTTTCCACAATCGTGAAACCCTATTTCGCAAAAATAGTGTTCTTTCATGGGGCTTGCCTATTTGAGCTGCTCAGCACAGTTTCCTGGCCTAGTGGGGCTGGCTAGGGCCCGAGACAACATCAACAAGCCTGCAAACCAATCCCCAATCGTGAAACCCTATTTCGCCAAAATAGGAAATTTTCACGTGGGCTTGGCTATTTGAGCTGTTCAGCACAGTTTCCTGAGCTAGTGGGGCTGGCTAGGGCCCGAGACAACATCAACAAGGCTGCAAACCAATCCACAGTCGTGAAACCCCATTTCGACAAAAAAAGGAATTTTCATGGGGCTGGCCTATTTGAGAGTTTCCCTACCCAGTAGGCCTGGCTAGGGCCTGAGACAACGTCAAGAAGGCTGCTTGGCTTGGTGGAGTCCTGGTGCTGGACTTACCTCGCGCAATTTCGTCTAGAAGTTATTCTACCTCGTACCTCGTCAAGTGAGCCCGGCTTAATTCGCTCAGCTAGAATCCAGTGAATGATTCAATCTCTCTGCAGCTGAGATGCAGTGGCGTCAAGATTCACGCCGCACTGACCGAGTTTGAGTTCAGAGCCCGAAGCTGGGTCGGCGCAACGCGCCACAGCCAGCGGGACGATGCTGGGAATACACACGTAGAAGAAAACCGGCAAGAGCACATCCAGGGTGGTATCAGAGGTGCGTCAACAGATTACGATCTTGTTACTGCGTGAGCCGATTAGTACAAAAACGGCCCTGCAACAATGTACCTTAATCACAAAACTTGACAGCATCCCGGAATTACTTTATGCATATATACACATCACTGTGCAACAGATATGTCTTCGTTGGCTGGAAACATCTGCAGCACGCCCCAGAAACCAGTCAATTATTGTGTGTCCAAGTATCCTTTGGAAGAGGGTTTGACACACACACACACGTGGTAGCTGGTTTTTGAATGTTTTGCGCACTACATGTTCCACGCAAAATTACAGACACATGGTCAATCATGTCAAATAACAACATTTCAAGATGAGGAATTGCGCGCGAATGAAGACAAAACCTCCCACAAGCTAGCGATGTGTTCTGGGACCTTGTGTCTTTTATGAATTCGCTGCCGACCACAGCTGATACATCTGCTTTTCCACCTGCGCTTCACCCAGCTTTGCTGCCAAAGGAAACATGTAAGGAAGTCGTGGCCGACGGAGGTTTTCTATGCCTTCCAGCCGATGGACTTGTGAAGAAACGCAAATTGCCGCGCAAACTCCTCCAGTCGTCCATTCCAATCCAGTGCTCCAGCATGCCCACTGTCCAGGGGTTGTACAACGCAGGTGTCATTGGATCCAATTGGTAAGCGCCGACGTGCTCCTCCAGTTCAGTCAAGCGCAAACCGACCACACAGCATTAAATGTATGCTGAAAAATATTCTTGAAGCACCGTAGCCATAGACGGCCACAACAATATGAACTCACGAGGCTGCAACAGAAACGTGACCGCCGTCTCTCCTACAAGAGCGTCCTACAAGTGTCCACGCAAGAGTGTCCCGCAAGAGTGCTCCACAAGAGCGTCCCACAAGACTGTCTCCGACAAGAACGGCCTACAAGAGTTTTGGACAAGAATGTCTCGCGCGGGGTGTCTCCCGCTGGAGTGCCCCAGCAAAGTCCCACACAAGAGTGAATGTCCCAAAAAGGTTCTCCTCTCCTACAAGCGTGTTCCACAAGAGTGTCTTCCACAAGAGTGTGTCCTAGTTTCCACAAGAGCAGGATGTCCCACAATTTGTCCCCCACAAGCCACAAGAGCGTCCCACTCCCTCAAGAGTGTTCCACGAGAGTGTGTCCTACAGGCGCCCTACAGGAGTGCCACGAAGAGTGTCCTGCAAGAGCGCCCCGCAAGAGTGAGAGCCCCAAAAAGATATTTCCACAAGAATGTCCCACAGGAGTGTCTCTTACAAGAGTGTCCGTGTCCACCAAAAGAGCTTTCCGCAAGAGTGTCCCACAGGAGCGTCCCCTACAAGAGATTTCCACAAGAGTGTCTCCTCCAACACCTGTCCACAAGAGTGTCCCACAAAAGCGTGCCTACAAGAGTGTTTTTTACAAGGGTGTCTCCGAGTGTCTCCTACAACAGTTTCTCCACAAGACAGAGGGTCTCCGACAAGGGTCTACTACAAGTCTTGCAAGAGTGTCCCACAAGAGTGTCACCAAAAAGACCTAGAAGAGTTTGCCAGAACATGCCAGAACAGTGTCTTGTACAAGAGTTGTCCGCAAGAGCGTCTCCTACAAGAGTCCCCTACAAGATCCTACAAGAGTGTCTCCGTTTTGCGCAAAAGTGCCCGACAAGAGTGTCCCCGACAAGAGCTGTTCACAAGAGCGTCTCCCTCAGGAGAAGGTTCACCAGGCGGTTGCAACGAGACCGAAGTCATCGAAGCGCAAAAGCTCATCAACAAGATCCCGGAGGACGCCAAGAACATCGGCTTGCATGTAAAGGGCGACCTCGTGCTGACAGAGCTCACCAAAAGGTTGGAGACTTGGGAGGGACGAGCCATTGGACAGGCCTGCGACTCCACCAATCAAGTGCGTGCCAAAGCCAAGAATCGAATTGCCTTGTCTCATTACCAATGGGATAGCCTATGGGCTCGCGTCTATGCAACATGGGGGAAAGGACCGCGCTACGCTGGCACCATGGGCCCCCAGCGTTGCACACGCGGTCACTGCTAAACCGCGGGACTTCGACCAGTATAATCTCCGAAGGATGACAAGAGCGAGCCCAACCCACGTTATCCTACGCACTTCGCAACTTGGCTGAAGCAGGCGAAGAACGAGGTGAAAATGGTGGGATCGGTGATGGGGCTCGAACACAACAAGGAGAGGCTTCAAAGCGCATGAGCAAAACTACGGCGTGTGGCCCGAAGGAGCTGAAAGCGGCATGGGTGGAAGAGCTCAAGGAAAGCCATCGACTACTATTATGCAGGGTGGGGTGCTGAACACGGACAACCCCTGGAAAAAGGACCTGAAGTTTGTCGCCATCCGAATTTGGGGAGCCACGACGCTCTACCAGACCACGAAGGACCTTGACGTGGTCTAGTGCTTTGGGACGCTGGCAGTCGGACGCCTTCCACGGCTACCTCTGGGAGAACGACGAAAAACAGAGAGACCTTGCAAAGGGCATGGCGCAAGCCGATGCTCAGCTGCTGGCGCCACGACAGAATTGGGTTGACAAGATCACCACGTCACAAGCCACCCCAAGGCGAAGGAGGCATCGTCGACACCAAGACGGGCATCCACAATACTACATGCAGTGGATCGTTGCGATGAATGAAAGGGGTGTTCCACGAAATTTTGAGGACTGAAAGTTGGCCAGAGAGGCCATGTGGCAGAAAACATCTGCTACAACGGCAAAAGGTCGCTTCAGTCCAAGTGTTTGCAAGATGTCGTAAACGTGTCTCCTACAAGAGTTTTCCACAAAATTGTCTCCTGCAAGAGTGTCTCCAGTACAAGAGCGTCAAGCAATATTTGGCATTATTTGGCCGTGTGTTTTCGAGTGCAGTGCATGTGCGCATTTGGGTTCATAGGCTCCATCTTGTGTCACAAGCTTTTTCCCAGTCTAAGAGAACAAGTCATATGTTTGAATGCAGTCTTTCGGAATGTCTAAAAGTCGCCATGCAATAAACATGGCTTGTGCAGTTCATTTCTCGGATCTTAATCCAAATTGTGAACTTTGTACCCAGTGAATTGTGAACTTTGTATCCAGCGATCGTAGGTGTCAATAGATCGTGCTCTGACTAGACTGAGTTTGCAAAAAGTTATCCTGAAGAGATTTATCCCTCCTCCTCCTCCACATTGATTGGCAGTGGTTCCATGTTATTTGGCTCCGCGACCTGTTGAGGCTTATCATTATGCCTTGACATTGTGGGTGGTGTAGGAATATTAGTCAAGGTAAGTTAGCACTGTAATGTTTTTGTTTTCTTTTTTATATTCATGTTACTGTACATGTTATTACTCAATGCACATGAGCTAGGACACATGTGGCTACACTACTGTACATCATGTAATCATAAATCATGATTTCCTATCAACTGAGGCTGTGTCCGGTGGAGCTGATGAAATGTGGCATCCTGCTGCGCAATCGGGCAGCATACTTCATAGCCATCCAAGCTGGCGCACGTGCATCAGCCAATGCGCATGACACATAAATAGGCGGATAGGAATGGGAGCCAATGTTTTCGTAGGGTGACAGCGAACGGATGTTCATCTCTTCTTCTGCATTGCGGGGATCTCCCCATTCAGCAAACTCATGTGCTGTGAGAGGCAATAGCGGGTCCGCCATGCTATTGAGGACGTCAAGAAACGGGACTTCAAGTATCACAGCGCCAATGAAAGCAGAATCTTCCCTGGAATTTAGAAGAGAACCCAAAGTCAGTCCACCAGCACTAGATCCCTTGAGACACAACGCTCCAGGTGTCACCATGCCGCGGGCCAGCAAAAAGCGAGTGGCATCTGCAAGGTCCAGAACAGATCTCGACTTCTTCAGCTTGCGACCTGATTGGTGCCATGCCCAGCCTCGCTCACCCCCCCCCTCACATGAGCCCATGCTAATAGCCAACCTCGTTTCACAAGCAACAGATGCTCAGGAAGGAAGTCTGGAGTCGCGCAGCTGCCATAGGCCCCGTAAACATGCAGCAAGCATGGGCCGCCACCACCACTATCTGGACTACTAGGACTATCTTCAAGCCGTGGCTCCGAATGTAGAATGGTGATTGGTACCAATTCACCATCACGTGCAGGATAGTTCAGCCGCTCACAACGCAGACCTGTCACACCCAACTCCATTTGTGCCACGGCCTCTATACCACCACTAGATAGATCCAAGTTGTATGCGCGACCAGGTTGCACTGGAGATCTCAGGGTAAAGCGTACATAGCTTGCATTCTGATCAGCATTCACACCCGGCTCCACCAGGCCTATGGGAGGCAAGTCGACTACGTGGGACTTGTCTGGAGCTTCAAGAGGAACAACATAGATACGAGGTTCTGCCGCTTCATGTCCGTAAAGAACCAGCTTTTGTGAAACCAAATCAGCATCGGTCACATGCATTTCACCAGGCGGTCTAAAAGACTCTTGTAACCTTGACCAGCCAAATGACTCCTCGGTGTCTGCTGCTTTACTCTTCTCCGGAAGGGTGTAGACAGCAAAATCTCGGCGGTCGTGATTGCTAATCACGATGAAATAATCTTTCTGATGCTCGGCAAAGTACTCTACACCTGGGCGGGGCTCCAGCAAACAAGTCAGATCAGCGTCCTGCGAGTTGCATCGAGCATATCGAACTTCTGAGGTGTCTTTTGTGTTTGAGGACACCAATATAAATTTGCGATTCTTTGTTTTGAACAATTCCAGGTAGGCAGCTGGGTTGCTTTCGTCCCACAGTAAGCGTTCGGAAACGTTATGACCTGTCACATTCACGTGTATTGCCTGGTGTGCACGCTTTGTTGCCGCATCCGTTCGCACTGCCAGCATGCTGACGGAGTTCCCACACCTGCCAAGAAATTCAACACTCCGAACACCAGAGATCGTACAGAATGGAGGTTCATCAAAGGCTTCAGGATGAATTGGATGCAACCGGAGCTCAAAGGTGTCGTCCCCCATAAAGTCCACAATGTAAGCCAACAACTCATGATCATCAGACACTTTGCAAGCTGTGATATCTGCATAACCTGTCCTCTCCATCAAGGTTTTTGTGTCTAAAATCACCTCCTCTTCCCCTGGCTGTTCTTTGGGATATCTCCCAAACTCGAGAAAACCTTCATTGTTTGTACGTTGAAAATACATATATGGACCCTGCGCTTCTGCCTCCACGTCGTTCCGAACCAAGCGACTGGCCTCAGCCTCAAGCACCTTGAACTCGGTTGCACCTTCCTTGAAAAAGGAACGTGTTGCACCTGTTTCGGCCTCCACGAGTTCCGAGAAAGTTGCGCAACTCTGATCCTTCAAAAACGCCCAATCGTCATACGTCTTCAAAAAAGACGTTGCAGAGAGGTGAGGCTTTTGACGGACTAGGCCTTGCTGGTGAATCCCCAAACGCCATACCTCATGCGATCTTCTCCAAATGTCTCTCAATGTACGACGCAAGTGTGCCATCAATGTGCGAATGACCACATAGCTTCGAGTTGCACCTACATATTGCTTTCAAACCCTGCCTTTCCTGCCTTCACATTTGAAATATTGTTCTTAAGAAACCTTGACGAATGTCCGATCGGCTCTGTGCCCTGAAGTTGCATGCATTCCTGATGGCAAGCTATATACATATGATTGCAGGTGGTTTCATGGCTACTTGGTGCTTCGAGGGTCCCAACTCACGCTGCGCAAAAACCAGGCCAACCATCTAAAAATTATGCACGGAAACAACACAGTTTGTGCTCTCTGTTTGTACAACTTGTTTGCACTCACAAAAACATGGCGCCTGTAACTGCTTCTTCTCGTGATTTGTGTTTCTCAACACCTGCCACCAAACTCTGATTCTGCACCCAACAAATCTGCCCGTCAGCAATCATATGCACTCCAAGTTCGGGAGTGTTTGCTTGGGGTGCAATTTCTTTTTGGGAAAATCGATCTACTCCTACTCAAACAGCCAACCTTGGCGACTTTTGATTCCGAAAGGTGGTTGGTAGCAAACATGAAACTTGAGAGGAGGGAGACATGAAAGGTAGGACAGCGGGAAAAGAAGAGAAGGCGAGAGGCAGGAACAAAAAGGCAAGATTCGACATGGTGTTCCTACCTCGTTTCGCCAACTAACTCTGACATTGGGCTGTAGAAAAGGAATGCCCCTAGACTAATCACCACTACCGCAAATAGAAGCCGTTGCTCATATGCTCTTGAAATGTTCAAAAAGATTCTTAGGAAAACAACGTTGCCCCATGGCTCAGATCATCGGTGAGCATTGAATCGGAGCATCATAGGATTTAAACTATCCTGAAAGCAGAAGAGGCTCACGAAGACATTCCCCAGGAGAGAATTGACGTGGTTCACAAAACAAACCCTAGGTATGTATCCCCTCAGGGAACACCTTTCGTGATCAGAATTTCATTTGCACTCTTTCTGAATGTTCAAGAGGGTTTCAACGATCCTGAAATCATGAGAGGCTCACGAAGACGTTCTCCGGGAGAGAATTGAATTAAGAGGCCCACGAAGACGTTCCCCAGGAGAAAATTGACGTGGTTCACAAAACAAACTCTAGGTATGTATCCCCTCGGGGAACACCTTTCGTGATTAGAGTTTCGTATGCACTCTTTTTGAATGTTCAAGAGGGTTTCAACTATCCTGAAATCATGCGAGGCTGACGAAGACGTTCTCCAGGAGAGATGAGACGCTCACGCAAACATTCTCCAGGACAGAATGAGAGAATTTAATTTAGAGGGGGGGGGGGTTGAATTGAATAATCAATTATTAGACCCGGACTCGCCGACACTTGCTTCGCAAGTCAAACTCAAGGTATCCCCTAAAGGGCTACCTTTCGTGACTAAACCACAACGAAGTATACATTGGAGTCATTGTTTGAAACAACAGGTGAGTCTTCACTTGGGTCTTTGTTGGCCAGACCCCGGGCCCAGGTCAAGCGGTAAGGGCGCGCCCTTACAAAAAGGCATGTTACATTCAGAAATAAACACTCAGTAGGAACCCTTAAGAAACAGAAACTTGAACACTATAGGTAAGGCCGTAAGGCGGTGATAATCACCGAGGCGCCTCAGAATGTTCTTCAGTATGACATGGAAGGTTCCGCACACCAACAGTAACCCATTGACTCCATTGACACAACACAATTTTGTGACGGCCCTTCATCCTTGCCGCTTTTCACTTGGTTGCTCGGCCTTCTCAGCAACCTCTTTCTGCTGCATGGTGCGATTCAATTCCTGCATGGTGTTTTCATTGTGATATATACTTCGCAGGTAGCCTCTCAACAGCGCCCGCTCATCCAGAAGTGACCCAATTTTTGCGCCCGCCGAAGTGTGTCTGCCTGCTCTTCCTTGGTCGCCCCAGAGAGACAATTGCAATGAACACTTTCCGTGACACATCCAGCATACATCTGCCATCATTTTCCTGCCTCCATGCCGTTTGCACTGCTGCATCAAACTTGATACTTGATTAAACAAGATGGGACACACGAACCCGAATGCAAAACACGCACTCGAAAACAAACGGCCAAACTTTGTTTGACACTCGTGTGGGACACTCTTGTAAGACACTCTTGTGGGCACTCTTGCGCGTGTTGCACGGAACACTGTTGTGGCTGTTGTAGATTGGGCGTGTCGCCGGGGAGCGGCATCAGTGGTGGCGCCCACGACGCTGGGTGTTCCATGGCTGTATTTAGTCATCTGTGGCCCACCGTGTGGCCAACTTCCGTCTGTGATGTCGCTGTGCCATGCGCTTTGCGCGGCTTGGTTTGGAAGTGCGTTTGCGTGAGTCAGCGCCATTGGGGGAAGGAAATCATGTGGGTGCGCTTGGTGTTTCATTGTTGTATATATTCAGCCCGTGGCACACCACAAGAGTGTCGCACGAGAGTAGCCCACAAGAGTTTTCCACGAGAATGAGTGCCCCGCAAAAGAAGAGTTGCGTGTCCTGCAAGAGTGTCCCACAAGACCGCGCGACAAAAGGAGTCCCACAAGTCCAAACACTACCCCACAAGATTGCCCACAAGAGTGTCCCGCAAAAGTTGTCCACAAGAGTGTCTTACAAGAGTGTCCCGCAAGAGTGTTGCGCCAGAGCTTTCCACAAGAGTGGCCCACGAGAGTGTCCCATGTTTCCTTCACCCAATGGCACGGACTCGCGCAAACGCACTTTCCACCGAAGCCGCGCAAAACCGCGCCACGGTGTGCCACAGACTGGATACAACCGTGCAACACCAAGCGTTGCGGGCACCGCCGATCGTCCCCCTCCCTCCCCAGCGACAAGCCGAATTTACACCAGCGTGCTTTCCTTCCCTCCATAGCGCGGCTCACGCAAACGCGCTTTCCACGGGAGCCACGCAAAAACGCATGGCGCAGCAACATCACAGATGGAATTTGCCGACGCGGTGCGCCTACAACAATGCAACGCCAAGCATTGTGGACGCACGACGTGCGGCACTCTGGTGGTGGAACACTCTTGAGTGGTACGCCCTTGCAGGACACTCTTGTGCGACACGACACTCTTGTGAGACACTCTTGTTCGTACACGCTTGCGGGCCACTCTTGTAAGACACTCTTTGCCAGGCACTCTTATAGGACACTCTTGTGGAAAAGTCGGACGCTCTGGCGTGACAATCTTGTGGGACCTGGGACATTGTAGGGCGTGCGTCCGACCCCTTGCAGAGCACCAAGTCCCGCGCCTGCCACGCTAAACCCACTGGCAGAGCGGCGGAGCCCAAGGGACGGCAGGGCGTGCGTCCGACCCCTTGACAAAGCACCAAGGCCCGCGCCTGCCACGCAAAAGCCACCGGCAGAGCGTCCGACCCCTTGCAGAGCACCAAGTCCCGCGCCTGCAACGCAAAAGCCACGGGCAGCGGCGGATGCTTCTCCAACTTCAAGCTGGCGTTCTCCTTCCGTAGGCCTTTGAGCAACTTCTCGTTCTCTGCAATCAGGTCTTTATCTTCTGAATCAGATCTGACTCCTCTTGCTCTGGTATTACTCAGTTTCAGTTGAGAGTAGCAATATTGGCCCTCTTAATTGGTTCCTTTTCCCGTTCGGATATGCTCGCAATTGTCCCTAGCAGTAGTTTCCAATCGTTCCAGAGCCTCATTGAAATCTTAGCTTCAAGAAGGAGATGTGAGACCTTCGCTGATATCTGCATTTGGTACCCTTGTGGTTCTGCATGGATTTCTGCGTCTTGATAGCTAATCTCTGGCGCTACCGGTACCCTGAGATGATCAACAACTAATGGCCCATGATTATGACTCTTGTTGGCTTGTGACATTCATCCATGAGTTGAAGCTGATGACGTTCATTCTGCGTCTGCTTTTCCCTTTCAAGTTCGGTAATCTTCCACATATTCGCGTTCTCGTCTTGAAGGGCAAGCGTTTGTGTCTGCAGCCTGCAGCTGGCTGGTTATTTGTCTCATGGCCATGTTCTCACTGTTTAGCATCTGTGTATGTGTGCTCATTGCCGTGGTGGCACTTTGCGATTGCATTGGATCTGTCCTATCGGTCCTATCGCTCCCTGCAGTTCATTCGATACGCTTTCCATCTTTTGGTTCATAGCGTGGAGTTCTGATTGCTCTTCGTTGCTTTCTTCAGCTAGCCCTCTGTACTTCCCACAGATATGGTCTGCCATCTGTTCGGCAAGTCGAAGTTTGTGCTTGAGTTCTGCGACCCTGATAGTAGAACTAGAACCTTCGTCTTCTTGAACCAGGTCTCGTAGTCGGGACCCTATGGTAGACTCTATGGTCCGTCCATAGTTTGATACATTCGTGAACTCTTCTTTGGATCTCTGATATATAGGTTGGTATACCCAGATCGCAAACATGAACACTCTTCGTGCAAAACCTGATGCCATGTTCGACGATCTAAGAAGTACTTCTCTGTCTGTTTCTCGGCGGCCTGGACTACCGCTAGTGACCCTGATCTTTTCGTTACTCTTCTTTGGTGATCGTGTGTGAGTCAATCTCGGTGAAGTAGACCTGCCAAGGGTCCTGAGAAGTCTCCTAGTACCCCTACCTCTGGGTAATTATTGTTCCGGTTGCGCGTTCCGGTAGAACGGCACTTTGTTCTCCAGACACCGCAGCGTTTGTTGGCATCGTAATGATCGTGGCATCCATTGAGCTCACGCCTGTCATTCCTGAGTCAGGAGACGACTGCGACATGGGTACAGCTGATAACCTGCACGTGGATATTGCTCAAAAGATTATCGGGAAAATAACAGTCCTGCGTAGTCGGTCTGCGCGCAACCTTTTTCCTGTGCAGGCGCTTGAGCCAAAAGTATGTCGGCAGTAACGTGTGCTGTTTACACACAGATACAACAAGATATCACTCCACGTTCCCATTGCGCTGCTATTGACATATATACATATCTACACACGGTACAATCTGCCATCCAGAATCAGAACAACCCAAATACACCAACCAACAGTTTTGAAACACATTCGGTCATTAGTGATCATCGATACTTCATTGCTGGTGGAACGGGTGGAAAGAGATAAGGCTTCTAAGCATCGCGGCTGATTGGCCCTGATCGCTGTCTGCCTCACGGTCAAGACATGTTGCGGCGACCGCAATGCACACATGCACGAAGGGCCACGCGGAATCGAACGCGTCGCTGTCGTCAAAACCTGCAGCAATAAGATGGATGACGCGCAGGTGGCAAGAAGGAAACTTCCTGAGCTTGTGGCGGCTTGTAGGGGACAGCGAGGTTCCAGGTGGCTGAGAACGTGCAGCTCTTTTGTGATTTGCTGCAAACTGTGTCTTGAAATGTTTTCAATAAGCTTTCAACTTACGGCGCGTTACGTTGTTCTTGAGCGTCTTAAGGCCGTTACCCAAACAACTCGATCAAGCTTTCCATTCGGCCTCCCAAAGTGTTCCACGCGCCCTCTGCATGTAATGAATGTCTGCAGAATGGATGCCCACCAAACCAAATGCGCTTGCCCGGCTTGTGAGAGGAGTAAGCAGTCAGAGCCTTGCAAACTCCCGCGCAGCAAAAGGCAAGCGCCACTCACATCCGTTAACAGCGCCGTGGTGAACCACATGCTAGCCTGTAACGCCCACAAAACTATGGTAATGACAGAATATATTGCGCGCCGAAATGTGCAAACGGTTCATGAATCACCAACCAATCAAACCAAACGCAGTCAAAAACAACCGTGCCAAATGATCCTTTGCCAGCAAAAGTCTTGCCGCGCTTTCTCCATTGTAACGCGCATAAGTATAGAATGATATGTAGACAAGTGCATCACCAACGCTATCCCAATATTAAGATTTTCCACGAAAATTCAAGGGGCGTAACGGAGCCAGATCTACTGCGATTTACAATGGGACAGCGTCGCCGGCGCCCACACTTAGCGTCCTCCCTTGGCAAAGGTCAAGGCTGCCAGGAATCCGGGCAAGGCTTGGCCAGGAAGCTCCTAAATCTTGTCGGCTTGAAAGGAGAAGACATCGTGATCCAGGCTCAATCGGAAGAGACCCTCCAATAGCATCGCTTGGACTTGGAAGACTGTCATGGGCTGACGCTAGAGTGGATCAGCAGAACACATAAACGTATTAGTGCTGCGGGCGGCGTTGACTCATTGAGGTGGAGAGTCATTGAGAAAAAGTCCTTCGAGACCAAGTTCATCCACATGATTGATAGCTTGGCGTGCCTGCATTCATTAGCCAGGGGGCGAAGCAGCAGCAGGAAGATGTGCCGGACCCTTTCCACACCTCGCAAAACCCGGCCGATAGGCCATCAAGGCGGCCTGTTAAGAATAAATGGTGAGACGAACGAACTTCAGCCCAGCATCCCAGAGATGAAGCAGAATTATCTTGGCCCAGGGTCGTTTGCAAGAATTGACCCCCTTTCGCAGCAAAGCTGTTTGGCGAAAAAGGCCACAAATCATGTTGGCTCAGGATTGCGTCTACGCAAGAATTTAGAACCCCTCACAAAAAAGTTGCTGGGTTGTTTGGGTAAAGTTCCCCACGTCACTATGTCGGGTTCTTGTTTTTCGCTCTGCGCCCGCCGCTCCGCAACCGCCGCCTTGGCAACCGCCACCTCCGCCGCCGCCAAGCGCCGACCAAGCAACCACCAGACTGCCAGACCCTCTATAACGGAGCCAGATCTACTGCGATTTACAATGGGACAGCGTCGCCGGCGCCCACACCCGACC